ACATCCATATATCCAAGGAGTCTGGCATGTTCTGGAAGAGGCTCCACCCAATGTCCCCTCCCCCCAGAGTTGCCTCAGTCCAGACTCCACCCCTAAGAGCCTGCCATCAGTGGCTCCACCCCAGGGGGCATTACTCCACCCCTCAAAAAGCCACTGGTGACTCCACCCACCAGGGTATTAAAAGCCCTTACCTCATGATTTCCCCTTATGGTATCCTCAACTTCCCCTGGGGCCACCCAGGAATGCTGTGCTCAGAATAAACCTGGATTTATTAATTTGGTTTGATTGACTTACTATATCATCGGTGGCAGATTCCCATTAACCAGGGCTTTCTTAACATTTGGTGCCAAAATCCAGAAATGAACCAGGGATCTTGCCCACCCCCTCCCACCCCAGCTCTCTTGGTGTTTGTGGTTTGTCTGTGTCTCTGCACTTCTGTCTCTCATTCCTGTCATGTATTCAGGTCACACTGGGACTCTCCCTGCGATGGATCTGTTCCCCCTGCCCTCCCCCTCTGAGCTGCATAGGTGGTCCATCTTTAGTTTCTGTTTTCCCCTACAGTTTCTGCTAATCTGGCCTTCAGTGGGACCCCTGTGTGTTTGCCTGGCTCCCACAGCCTACTGCAGGATTTTTAAGTTGGCCAGCTGACAAAGTTTCCTGGAAAAAGTTCTGTTTGTCTGTCTGTTAATATATATGTGGCCAGCGTATGCTTGTTTTATGTCTCTCTGTGTATGTGTGGTTGTTTTAAAATCTGTAAAATTTGTAACTCCAGATTACAACAGCTCCGGAAAAGTACAAACACGTGCATAGCCACCATTTTGGTTGAGGTCAAAGTGGAAACCTCAAGCCAGCTTCTGCAGCATCCTATTGTTTGGTCGGAAGTGTCACCTTAGCTCCCTGGTACTCCTTCATCCAAAATGTCCAGAATGTTTATTTGGGGGCTTCACCCCAGTCCCCTGGAATCCATTTTGGAATGTTGGCTGGGGGGGTCAAAGCCCCCTCCTCTGGGAGTGGCTGCAGTCCAGACTCCACCTCCAAGAAAGCCCGCCAAACGGTGACCCCTCCCCAGGGAAGATCAAGACCACTCCCACAGGCTATTTAAACTGCCCCCAAGAGAATGAACACACTGTGTCCCGGTTTTGTGTGTTCTTTTCGGTTCTCCTTTCCCCTCTCTGTGTTTTCCCGGGGGCCACCCGGGAGGGCTGGCATCCATTAGAACTGGGTGTCTTCTAACTTGGTTTGATTTGGTCTGATTGTCTTATTGCATTGGTGGAGAGGTTTGTCGGTCCAAGAAAATACGTAACACCTGTATTTCTAAGAAGACGCACGGCTGCAGAACCACTTCCTCCTGCAGGCTTGCCTTTGGATATGGCGAAGCTGCACACACAGCAAAAAGCTGTCTCTCACCTCATCGGCTGCCTGGACCCTGCTTGGACTGGACTACACTGTGGGATCGATTGTCTCCTCCTGCCAAGACAGGTAGACTGAACCCTATCGCCACAGGAAAATCTGTCAGGCCTCCTGGGCTTAGCAGTTAAAGGCAAGCACTGCTTCTAAGTCTGGTATTCACCAAAGATTACGGAGAGGCTTGGTATTGCCTGGGTAACTGGAGAAACTGTCTCACTTCTGCTCATTTATTTATCCCTCTCAGATATGTCTGATGGTTTCTGATGACTTAGGATACCAGTAGCTCATTAGTTTATTAGTTAAGTTTACTGCTAAAAATTCAGGCAGGTGGGCCTCTTTCGTTAAGCTTCCTAGTCCAGGTTCTAACAGGTTTCAGATGTTACTTTGGAGGTTCCTGGGAGAAGTTCTGCTGCTGTATCAAGAAATCTGGTCCACTAAAATCTATCAGTCTCCAGAGCCTATTTTGACCCCACCCATTTTCAACCATATTTCATAGGTCACTCCTGCTGGCTGGGCCAAGACCAACTTACAGGGGGTCCTCCAGATAATGCCAGCACCCGCACCAATTCCTGGGACTTCATCATTTGGTACCACCTCTTCAGGCTCAAGTGTGCACCAACCCAGCAACTGAAGTCTGGTTTAAAGAGCATATCTGTTCTTGTGTCTCACTCATTCACCCGTGCCTCTCCTGTGTACAACTTGGGCACTTCTCTGGTCCTTTCATTCTGGTAGTTGTCACCCTTCCCATGGCTAGCCCTGTTCTTAGGACCAAGATACTATCAATCTGTTTTTTTTTTCTTCTAGCAACCTGCCTTCTCATCTCCCTCAAGAAACAGATGCCAGGATGCCTCTCCACCCGTACCTCCTGTTGAGAGTGAGTCCACCAATGCCCAACTCTCCCCTCCCCCATATCACCCCATGCCAGCAGGAAGCAGTCAGATATGAACCAGTACCCATATAACCAGAATCTGGAATGTTTGGATGGAAGCCTCACCCCAGCCCTTGGCATCCATATATCCAAAGAGTCTCTGATGTTTGGGTGGAAGTTCCACCCCAAGCCCCCTCCCCTGGAAGTTGCCTTAGTCCAGACTCCGCCTCTGAGAAAGCCCACCAAATGATGAGCCCTCCCCAGAGATGCTCAAGACCACGCCCACAGGGTATTTAAACTGCCCCCCAGAGAACAAACATGAGGTTTCCAGTCTTCCTTTCCTGTCTACTTTCTAGGGGGCTGGAAAGCCATCTGGGAGTGTTTGTATCCATTAAACCTGTGCTTTTTCTAATTTGGTTTAATTTGGTCAGATTTGGATGGTTGCACTGACAGAGAGGCTTATTGTGATGCAGATACTTTTCAGTGAAGATGTTACATTTGTTTCACCTTGCCTGCCTAAGGCACCTAATTGGTCTAATAAAAAAGCAGAATGGCCAGTATCTAGGTGGGAGAGGACTAGGTGGGACTGGTGGACAGAGAGAATAAGTAGGAGAAATATAGGCTCCAGAGAGAAGAGAAGGAAGGAGAAAGAGAGGGATATGCCTGGGGCTAGAAGCTGGGCAGTTACCAGCCAGCCATGGAGAAAGCAGGAAAGCAACATATACAGAAAGAAAGAGAGAAAGAAAGAGAGAAAGAGAGAAAGAGAGAAAGAAAGAAAGAGAGAAAGAAAGAAAGAAAGAAAGATGCACCCACACACTGAGACAATGGAGATGCTCTATCGGGAACTCACCAAGGCCAGCTGGCCTGGGTCTGAAAAAGCCTGGGTTAAAACCGGTCTCACTGAACATAGCGGACAATGAGGACTACTGAGACATCAAGAACAATGGCAATGGGTCTTTGATCCTACTGCATGTAGTGGCTTTGTGGGAGCCTAGGCAGTTTGGATGCTCACCTTACGAGACCTGGACGGAGGAGGGTTTTCCTCGGACTTCCCACGGGACGGAGAGCCCTGATTGCTCTTTGGGCTGACGAGGGAGGGGGAATGGATTGGGGGAGGGGGAGGGAAAGGGGAGGCGGAGGTGGGGAAGAGACTGAAATATTTAATAAATAAAGAAAGAAAAAAAAGATGGAGAATAAAAAAAAAGAAAGAAAGAAAGGAAGGAAGGAAGGAAGGAAGGAAGGAAGGAAGGAAGGAAGGAAGGAAGATTAAAGGTCCCAAGGAAAAACATAAAGAGAAAAAGATCAAAATAAGAGCATTTATAAATAATAACAAGTCTCTGGGTCATGATTTGGGAGCTGGTTGATAGCCTAAAAGAAAAAGCCTGCTACAAGTGACCCTTTCATAGGCTTAGTCTCATAGATAAGAAGAATTTAAAAATGAAGTCAGGATGAAACTTGAAAGAAATAGATGTAAGATGGAAGAGAGGTAAAAAACCACAAGGCAAAATGTAGACTAATATAAATGAGTTAATTTAAGTAATAAGAGCTAGTGGGACAAGCCTAAGCTATAGGCTGAGCTTTCATAATTAATAAGTCTCTACATCATTTTTTTGTGAGCTGGCAGCCCAAAGGAAAAGTTTGATTACAACCAGCCTTTCTGGTACTGTTTACCAGGCCTGTATGCCAGCTCTCTAAAAGAGATGTGCTCCTCCCATTTTGTTAGTAATTTGGCCTTCCTTCCTTCCTTCCTTCCTTCCTTCCTTCCTTCCTTCCTTCCTTCCTTCCTTCCATTCTCTCTCTCTTTCTTTTTCTTTGTTATCTTTGTTTTTAAGGACAGGATGGATCTCTCTATTATGTATCTTTGGCAGTCTTGGAACTCACTATGTAAATCAGGTTGTCCTCGAACCCACAGAGATCCACCGGCCTCTGCCTCAAGGGCTGAGATTACAGGTGTGTGGTACTACACCTGGCCACTCTTGTATTTCTTAATTGAGAAATTAATTCTGAAATGTTGATGTGAATTGAGGGTGGCTTGGAAGACTTAGACTTGGCTTGGCACTGCTGTGGAAGCCATAGCCTCACTCTGTCTTATGAAACTGGATGTAGGGAAGGACCTTAGAGCAGGCAACACCAGGTCCCCTGTACGGACTATCCCATCTTATGCTGCACAAAGTTGGACAAATCTGCAATCCTGTTTAGTTTAGCAACTTGAAGGGCTGCACACTGTTTCATGTACTTTGAGCTCGTTCCGGTGTGGATCTGTGAGCTCTAGGTTACCGAAAGCAATGTTTCCCTGAAAGTGTTTCTTAATTGTTGGCATTGAGAATAATAGTGATTATAATAAAGCTCCTGCTTTGGGGGAACGAAGAATGTTCTTATTTTGTTATTAGAAAGGATCTTTCTCCAGTAGAAGCACATTTTTTTTAGATTTATTTATTTTCATGTATACAGAGTCCTGCCTGCGTGTATACCTGCCCCCCAGAAGAAGGCACCAGATCTCATACAGACAGTTATGAGCCACCATGTGGTTACTGAAAATTGAACTCAGGACTGTAAGAGAAGCCAGTGTTCTAGACCTCTGAGCCATCTCTCCAACACCAGTAGCGTACATCTTTAATATCAACACTGGGGAGACTTCGCCTCTGCTGGTGAGTTTGGGTCTCAGTCTTCTCCAAAACTAACCAGTTTTATTTGGAGCTAACTTTCAAGGCTTCTGCTTGTCGCCATGGAGAAGCCATCAGAGGAGTTCGACCCATCAGAGGAGGTGGTCCACCCACTCGTGGACTCGGAACCTTCTCAGACGGATGGACAAGACTCCTCGGATAATTCGGGAATCTCCCAGCCAGACAACTTAGAAAAGGACATGAGAAAGCTGACCATCGACCCGAGTGCCAAGAAGCCTCCTGCTTCCCTGGCAGGACTTAAACTTCAGCGCAGCTGCCGCAGCCGCATTCTCCACCGAGCAATTAAGATGAGAAATGTCGAGAACAAAAGTGAGAAGATCTTGAGGGAGGTCCAAAGTGCCTTTCCCAAGAGAAGAGTCCGCACACTGCTGTCTGTGCAAAACAATCCTGTCGCGAAGATGAAGTGATTTATGCGGATTGAAAAGAAACTAAACAGCCGCAATGATGGAAATGTGTTTAACAAAGCGCAACCATTCAAATGCATCTGCACTTTCTGCCTGTACAATGGCTGGGACTCTTCTGAGAATGCAAAAATTGGAAAAAAAATAGGACCATCAATTCAGGGCTAAGTTGTGTGCTGCCCTTACGGCTGATAAGGCCATGCAGCCAATGTGAAAGGGTTTGCTGTTATTTTTAAGATTAAACTGCGATAGTGAGTTCTGTGATAGTTTTATTCTTTTTCCGGGTGCTGGGTGACCTTTCCATGCTTGTCACCATTACACGATATATAGAACGGAAGTTTGAATGCGTGTGAATGAATTTAAGTTGACCTAAAGAATCAAGAGTGAGTCTCAGCTTGACTCAAGTCTGGGGTTAAGTTCAATAACTTGAAAGAATGTCAATAGAATTTGGGGGTGTTGTGGTTTAGAAGGAAATAATTGGAATAGATCTTTGGGTTTTCTTGTTCTCAGAAATTTGTAATAAAGGCAATCTTGTTTTCTTAAAAAAATATCAACACTGGGGAGGCAGACGTAGGTGAATCTCTGAGTTTGAGGCTAGCCTGGTCTACAGAACAAGCTCCAGGATAGCCACGATTATATAGAGAAACGCTGCATTGAAATAAACAAAAGACCAAAAGGAAAGGCGCTTTCACAGGTGATAATGGATATTATAAAATAATCCCATACTAGCTCAGAATTGAATATAATAAAGGGTTATTTATTTAGGGATAGACTCACAAGTCACAGTCCTCTGCATGAACTGGGAACAGGAACAGAATCCAGAAGCTGGAAGAGAGAGCTAGCACATGCTTTACATTGGCATTTATACTATAAGAGACCATGGTCAAGTGGGCTGGTATCTTAAAGGCTACTGGCTGAAGGAGTTCCCACAGCACCTTCCCCTTTTGTTTAAATAAAAGAGTTCTAAGCCTAATACAAAACTATGTATAATAAGAACAGATATCAAGTACAAAAATTAGAATTACAACCAGTATAAACAATATCAAGCAAGAAACAAAAAATGCTAAATGTTTCAATAATTATCCTATCTTAAGGAGTCTAAGTCTTGTATTAGAAATAGCTTGGCCAAGTCATGAGGAGAAAGTAACTACAACTATCTAGTCTTCAAGCCCATCAAAGACCTGAGAGGGGAAATAATATTACTTGAGTAGACAGAAAGTACAATCAAGCAACTTCCAAAATGTGCAATAAATGACAGAGACAATTGATTCCCTGGGAAAACTCAAAGTCTCATTTGCAGCATTGGAGCAACCAACTTTGGCTAAGGCCTAGCACAATTGACAGACCATTTTCGGAGGCAGGAAAATTTTCAGAACCATCTCACCCTGTCTTGTCAAGGTTTGGTTATAACAGCAGGCCTCCTGGAGCAAGCCGCTTGTTTTTTCCTGGCCTCCCGGCTAGCTTAGACCCAAAATAATCACACAAAAACTGTATTAATTAAATCATTGTTTGGTCTATTAGCTCTAACTTCTTATTGGCTAGCTCTTACATTTTAATTTAATCCATCTCCATTAATCTGTATGTCACCACATGGCAGTGGCTTACTGGCTAATGTTTCAGCACATCTGTCTCTGGCTGTGCTCCACGGCATCTCTGCCCTTCTTTCTCCCAGCATACAGCCTAGCTTTCCCTGCCTACTTCTGTTCTTCCCTGCCATAGGCTGAAAGCATTTCTGTATTCATTAACCAATAAAAGCAACACAGAGACAGAAGGACCTCCCACACCATTTGGCAGACTTTTTTCTTGTATCCTGCTTGTCCTCTCTAGACGCTGTGCATGTTGTCGGGGGGGGGGGGGGGGGACAAGGCATGGGCAGTTCCCTGCCCAAAGACCAGTTTTGTCAACCAGAATACAAATTCCAAGTAGAGTGTCCTTGGTGTTCAACATTCTCTTGAGAATAGATCAGTGCTGCCAGGAGCATCATGTCTCATGTAAACAGAACTCTAAGACATTTAAATGTCATATTCTATAGTTCTTTGAAGTGTTTAAAGATTACATATTCATACGGAATACAATCTATATGTATCTAAAGAACCTGATTATTCTTACTATAAGTATGACAAACATAGATGACCATAGACCTATAATACTTAATACATATGTAGCTTAAAGATCAAGACTTCATATTACAATATTAAACAATCTTTAAACAACTGTGCAGCAAATGAGGACAATGACTTCAAAATGTAAACAATGTACAAGTATCTTGATCAGAGGTGGAAATGAATATTATAATATGATAAATATATCCTAAAATTGTATCAATATACAAAATATCTTAAGCAGAGGTAGAAGCATGCATGTATACATATGACAAAATAACTTTGCCTAGATCTACAAATATTGTAAACAGAAAAAGGAGCATGTTCAATATAATTTGAATTTGTATCAATATACAAGAATCTATACCAATATAAATTGTCTATAAATAATAGCCCAAAGTATTCACTTTATTACTATTATTATATTAGTGTGAGTAAGCTCATACTAATCTACCTATTGTCCCATTCAATTTCCCTTTTTTTCAAAAAAAGTCCCTATGCCTACATAATTTCCATCCCAACCTGCAACCCTACACCAGTTATAATCAACCCCTAATTGATATCCCTAAACCTGAGGACAAACTTTGTTGGGAGAGGGGACGTCATCTAGAATTACTTTTAGCCATCATGGGACGATGTTTTTCTTTCGTTTTTATCCTTTTAAAAATTGATTTTATTAAGATATACATTTTTCTATGCTCCACTCACCTCTCCCATGGTCCCCATGCTTTCAATTTACTCAGGAGATCTTATCTTTTTCTACTTCCCATGTAGATTAGATCCATGTATGTCTCTCTTAGGGTCCTTCATTGTTATCTAGGTTCTCTGGGATTGTGAATGGTAGGCTGGTTTTCTTTGCTTTATGTCTAAAAGCCACTTATGAGTGATATTAGTCTTTCTGGGTCTGGGTTACCTCACTCAATATGTTTTCTAGATCCATCCATTTGCCTGCAAATTTCAAGATATCATTATTTTTTCTGTTGTGTAGTACTCCATTGTATAAATGTATCACATTTTTCTTATCCATCTTTTCGTGAGGGGCATTTAGGTTGCTTCCAGGTTCTGGATAAGATAAACAATGCTGCTGTGAGCATAGTTGAGCACATGTCCTTTTGGTATGATTAAGTATCCTTTGGATATGTACCCAAAAGTGGTATTGTTGGGTCTTAAGGAGGATTGTTTCCTAATTTTCTGAGAAATCACCATACAGATATCCAAAGGGGCTATACCAATTTGTACTCACCTGCAATTCAGGAGTGTTCCCTTTACCCCACAACATTTCCAGCATAAGTTGTCAACAGTGTTTTTGATCTTGGCCATTCTTACAGGTGTAAGATGGAATCTCAGAGTTGTTTTGATTTGCATTCTCTGATGACTAAGGATATTGAGCATTTCCTTAAGTGTGTTTCAGCCATTTTAGATTTCTCTGTTGAGAATTCTCTGTTTAGATCTGTACTCTGTTTTTTTTTTTTATTGGATCATTTGTTCTTTTGATGACCAAGTTTTTGAGTTCTTTGTATATTTTGGAGACTAGACCTCTGTCTGATGTGGGGTTAGTGAAGATCTTTTCCCATTCTGTAGGCTGTCATTTTGTCTTGTTGACTGTGTCCTTTCTTTACAGAAGCTTTTCAGTTTCAGGAGGTCCCATTTATTAATTGTTTCTCTCAGTGTCTGTGCTACTGGGGTTATATTTAGGAAGTGATTTTCTGTGCCAATGCATTCAAGTGCACTTCCCACTTTCTCTTCTATTAGTTTCAGTGTGCCTGGCTTTATGTTTAGTCTTTGATCCATTTGGACTTGAGTTTTGTGCATGGTGATAGACATGGATCTATTTTTATTCTTCTACATGTTGATATCCAGTTACACCAACACCATTTGTTAAATAAGCTTTCTTTTTCCCATTTTATATTTTTTGCTTCTTTGTCAAAAATCTGGTGTTTGTAGGTGTGTGTGTTAATATCCAGGTCTTTGATTAGTTTCTATTGGTCTTCCTGTTTGTTCTTATGCCAATACTGTTTTCAGTACTGTAGCTCTGTAGTAGAGTTTGAAATCAGGGATTGTGATGCCTCCAGAAGCTCTTTTATTGTACAGTGGTGTGGGAGGTCCTTCTGTCTATGTGTTGCTTTTATTAGTTAATGAATAAAGAAACTGGCTTGGCCTATAGCATGGGAGAAGAGAAGGCAGAGTCAGGGAGAAGCCATGGAGCCATCATTGGAGACAAAATCTGGGAACTTTACCTAGTAAGCCACAGCCACGTGGAGATATACAGATTAATAGAAATGGGTTAAATTCAGATGTAAGAGTTAGCCAATAAAAAGCTAGAGATAAAGGGGCAAGCAGTGCTTTTAAATAATATGGTTTCTGTGTGATTATTTCAGGGCTAAGTAGCCAGGAATAAACTATAAGCCTTCCTACTACAGTACAGGATTGTTTGGGTGATCCTGGGCTTTTCACTTTTCTCTATTAAGTTGAGTACTATTCTTTTGAGGTCTGTGAAGAATTTTGCTAGGATTTTGATGGGCATTGCATTGAATCTGTAGATTGCTTTTGGTAAGATTGCTATTTTTACTACGTTAATTCTGCCTATGCAAGAGCATGGAAGATCTTTCCACTTTCTGTTGTCTTCTTTAATTTCTTTCTTCAAAGATTTAAAGTTCTTGTCATACAAGTCTTCCACTTGTTTGGTTAGAGCTACTCTGGATATTTTATGCTATTTGTGGCTATTGTGAAGGGTGATGTTTCTCTGATTTCTTTCTCAGCCTATTTTTCATCTGTGTAAAGGAGAGCTACTAATTTTTTTGAGTTAATCTTTTATCCTGCTACATTACTGAAAGTATTTATGGGTTGTAAAAGGGTTTTTTTTGGTAGAATTTTTGGTGTTGCTTATGTAAACTATCATATCAC